AATTGATTTTTGAATAGTGATATGATGGGAAATGTGTGGTTGAAAAAGAAGAAAAAAGTATTGATGTGATGGAAAATATTATTTTATTGAAGAATGTGTGGTTGAAAATGAGAATTGATTTACTGTAGAAAATGAAAATTTTTACCAAACAGGCTCTAAGTAACTTTTGAGCACAACCAAATATGTTTGGACTTTTTTCCCGTGGTTTAGTAGCAAAAAGGTCTAGTTCTTGAGATGAAGCATCGGGGGCTACTAGTAGTGGTGCTTTATGGAAGGTTTGACTGGAGAGGGTGGGCCATGGGGTTGGCCCAACAAATTAAGCCCAGAAGAAGAATTTCCACTTTAAGGCAAAGGGTCATAATTCAGTCAGAACTCATCAAGGGGCCTAAACAAGATTCAAGCCCATTAACCTATCAGGCCCCAAACCAGCAGAAAATGAACCAATAGATGAGTATGTTCCAGGCCTAATTTTCAGTATTACATAAATGATTGTCCAATAGAAGGGAGATAGGGAACTGACATTCGACTTTCATTTATATGTAATTTAGCTTTCAAGTGGAGCTAAATATGTTAATATAAATATTGTTCGATCTTTTTATTTAATATAAATATTGTTCGATCTTTTTATCATGACTTGGACGCTAAAAGTTTCACAAAGGGACGCAATCTAACACGTTTGTTAACGTTTGTGTTGGTGTAGAATCATCATTCGAAATAGAGTTTGAGGGAGATTGAGAAAAAGATCCTAACGAATTCTAAACCTAATCACTACTTTTTTGGATTCTCTTGCTTTTTCCGTATCAAAAAACAAATATTATCATATAAATATTTGTTATGTTTTCCACTTAAACATACATTTAGTTATATTACAAACATTAATAATAACGATAGAAATCAAGATATAGTTACATATATGTTTATTCGATGAGCCAAGATTGATTAGCTAAACCACTTTAATTTGGAGGGGCATAATCCTATTTAATGTATATACCATGCTGAATTTGTTATGAGTTGGTAAAAAGTTTTATGTTTAGATAAACTAACAAATGCCTCTCCTAAACATCACATTATTAAATTTGAGAGTTTCTAATGAGCAAAAAATAGAGTGTTTATTGTTTTTAACCTAACCACAAAATGGGTGAGTTATTTATTAATACTCAAAATACAAAAGGAAAATAAATTTTTTTGACCGGAGGCTACTGACCTGATCTCTAGTCAATGAAAAGAACCAAATAAACAAAAAATAACAAATCGAGACACCAAGAAAAAGAAAGATATAGAGCTATTTTACGAGTATGCTAGCAACAAGTGTACTTTAATCATTCTACGTCGTTTATTTAAAATTGTAATCTTAAAGTGTCAAATGGGACCATGATTTATTGGAATAGTTTTAGGTTAAGCATCTGTTTGTTTCTGATTTCAAGCAAAATTTGTACTGTTGCTACAGTGTTATAGCCACAATATTTGACTTCTTTGTGTCATAGTGGGCCCCACAATTTTGAAAAAAATAGGTCAAAAAAAGCCATTTCTTATTGAAAATAATTGGAAACAAACAGGCACTAAATAATTAGGCAATTATTGATCATTTTAACCCCGCGTGTTTGCTTTAATAGTTCAAGTTAGTCTTTCATTTGTAGTCTACAAAATATGGAAAGTGAAAGGTATGACTTTGAAAGCTACATAATTAATCTCGTTTGACTAATATTGATATGGGAACTCAATGAAGATTGCAAATAGTTAAGCAAAGTCAATTAATTTGAAAAAAAAAATTAATGGTTTTGAGTAATATTGACTGCACGAGTTTTGAGTAAAATGGATTACACGAGATTAAGGAAGAAATTATATGTAATGTGTATTCACTGTTTAGTTGAGTGTATTTCTCTCTGAATATATCAATTACATATAATATAATTGTACGTTCCATAAAGTAAATTAGATAGTAATAGACAATATTAAGACGAGAAGAAAGTTAAATTTTGGATAATTTATTGCATAATTGTGTATCAAACATGCAATATATTTTCGTGCTGGAACTCAATTTATTCCTCATTGGATTTAGATGAAGCTAGATTGTGTATTTATAGATAAAAAGTAAATATAGGTTTATTTGGAAGGTGGAAAAGT